TGTAGCATTTTTGATTAGTGTTCATGTTTTTTTTATACTTTCTCCTATCCTTTTATATTTATGTCTTTATAAATATGAAGACATCATATATAAACTCATAAAGGTGAGTTTCTAGTAGCTAGTGGATAATTGGATTTTGCCTTTTTTTTTTTTTTTTGAGATGGAGTCTCACTCTGTTGCCTTGGCTAGAGTGCACTGGCACCTTTATAGCCCCCAGCAACCTCAAACTCCTGGGTTTAAGCAAGCCTCCTGCCTCAGACTCCAGAGTAGGTGGGCCTACAGGTGCCTGTCACAATGCCCAGCTAATTCTAATTTTTCTATTTTTAGTAGAGATGGGGGTCTCACTCCCACTCAGGTTGGTCTCTGATTCCTGAGCTCAAGCCACCCTCCCCCCATGGCCTCTAAGAGGGTCAAGAGTACAGGTGTGAGCCATCACACCCAGTGGGTACGGTGTTTTTGAAGAATTACTTGTTAAAGGACAAAAAGATATTATGAATTTTGATCAATTTAATCAATTTAGCAAATATTTTTGAGTTCCTGCTAATGGCTAAACACTGTTACATCTTGGATAAATAGCGATGAACCAAATAGCAAGATTCCCATGGGGCTAGTGTGGGAGAGTTAAGAAAATAGACTCACCTGGGAATACATCTTTGTAAAGAGTGGCCAGTTCTTCAAAGGAAAAGAGAAGGATGCTGCAGGAGAGAATAGGGTGGGAGACTGGCTTGGTATTTGATGGTTAGGGGAGGCCTCTCCCAGGAAGGGACATGAGAGATGAGGACTCTGCTACATAGGGATATACTGATGTGGGAAAGGATAGGCATGTTTGGTGAACAGAAGGTTCAGGGCTGGTAGAATGCCTGAGTGAGTGGACTTTTTTTTTTAATGGCTTATGGCTTGCTATAAATCAGGGGTGTCCAACCTGCAGACTTTTGTCCGAATGCTGATTTTGAGAGGACTTTTTTTGCATATCTATGGTGTCAGATATCATGAAACGTATGCATAGACCTTTTGTTTTTTGCAAATCAGCTCTCAACTCTTACTCTTTCAATGTACAGCAGAGAACAAGCAAGGTTGGACACCCCTGCATAAATCAAGGCAGGTGGTTGGGGGGGGAATTGGAGGAGAGGAGGCGAACCTTAGGTAATGTGAATCTAGAGGAAGGAGCACGGATTTGTACATGTATTAATACTCCAGCTCTCTTTCAAATATCATTCCCTGGCCTCATGTAAATTTTGCTTAGACTATTATCTGTTATTCAATCAAGGAAATAGTCAAATACTTTCTCCAGGTAAGTAGTCGAAGATTATGTGCAAGTGAAAATGCTTTCCCTGGTTAACCTTGCCCAGATATCTGATTGTAGGGGAACATTCTGTGTTGCACAGTCATTTGCGTGCTTGTTACTCTGGCCTGGTTGTTTAATATTCACAACGACTAGGGAGACCGTTTGTGCGCTTGAAAAAGCGGGGAGGGAAGCACGATTACAATTTTACAATTAACTCTTGTATTTTGTGGAGCATTGTCTGTTAAAATGGTGTACGTATTTCAAAACACATGTCAGAGATTTTTATTTATGAAGGCCTCTCTGGTTTTCCAGATTATTTCGAATCTTACTGTATGATTCATGAAAAAGTTGCACCATCTTTCATGCAGAGTTACAACATTTTGTCTTGCTACGTTTATCTTAACTGTCATCAAATTCCTCTGACCAAAGGATATTTTTTCTTATTTTCCAAGCCTTCCACCTTTCTTAGCCTTGGCATCTTATATCTTGAAGATAGGTTTCTCATTGTTTCTAGTGAGTTTGTGAGTTCTATTTGGTAGAGGTCAATTTCAGGAACACTTTAGTAGGGCTTTGGCTTATAGTAGAAATAGCATTGACATTGGCATTGGAGTTAGACTCAGTGTGAATCCCAGCCCTGCTATTAATAGTATATTTACTTAGCTATGTCATCCTTGGTTAGTGACATCAATTTTAAGCCTCAGTTTTCTCATCTTTGAGATGGAGACAATAATCTCTTCCCCACAGTGTTGCAGGATTACGTGAGGTGATACGTGTAAAGCCCAGCATGGGGCCTCTACCCAGTAGGTGCTCAGCTATATGGGTGGCTGTTGGCATGTCAGGTAGCATTTCATAGCATCGCATTTCAAGTAGCAGAAATAGATTGGCACTAGTTTATATTTGTCCCCTTGTGTCTAAGGACATCGATGTATTTCTCCCTTGGGATAGAGGAAAAGTTACTGGAACAAGACTGGCTGTGGCCAGGAGAGAGCAGCAGAGTGTCATGACCTTGACCGGAAGGCTCTACAGCTGGGGAGGCTGCTAAGGGAAGGCAGGCCAATGTTTGTGCAAAAGCTCTCAACCTTCTGGGAAGAAAGTATGCTTGGAAGCTAAATTAAAAAGCCTAATCCAGGGCTATAGAGAGGAAGCCAGGTGATTCCTAGAGAAAACATTGGTGAGGAAGCTTCCATGTGCCAGGCACTATTCTAAGCACTGGGTTTACCAAAGTTGGTCACAGTGACCTGGGGTTTATAATCTAGAGGGGAGCCCCATTATTATAACGTAGTGGTGCAAAGCGGAGAAAGTGTTTAGGGATCTGAGAGAGGACATGTTTCTGGGAGAGGAAAGTCTGCCCAGAGGCAGCATGAGTGTCCCTCTAGACACTGATGTACAGGCGGCATAGGCACCTCTGAGGGAGCTGGCGGGCCACTCATCAGTTCAGTTCTGGTTACTGTCCTCCTAGTTACCTTTTCTTTAAAAGGCACTCTTAGGAGACCCAACTCTGTGATTGTGGGGGGAAGATGCAGCCCAGAGAGTAATGGCATTTACCAGAAACTAGAGGCATTTGACATCTTTTTCTGCAGCCAGCATTTGTCAGGTTGGTTTTCTAGTAAGAATTCACTTGACAATAAGCAGTAACACTAACTCGTGCTTACATTATGATTTCAGAATAACTACATTCCAAAATGTTCTCAAGTATCATAATTCTGGGAAAGTGAGGATTTATAGAGGAAATACTTTATCTACTTCTTACAGCAGTCTATTCCTGTAGGCCCTACAGTTCCCCATCCCTATACTATTTAAGTCAGTAAAAATGTGGAAATTATTTGTGAAGTGAGGTAGAAGGTACTCAAAGTGGAATGATTAAAGTCTGCAAATGTAATTTTAAAACTATCGGGATTTAAAAACCGCCACTGGAGTGTATCTCTCCTGTTTGATTGTTGCATAGACAACTCTGTTATCTGGTTTAAGTGTAATTTTAAACCACTAAGTTTCAGGCTGATGTGTCAGCAGCAATAGATAACTGAAACAACAGACCAAATAGCACCTCATTCACATTCAGGGTGGGTAGCTGGGGTCCTGTTCAAGGGTTTTATTTCAGTTAGGTCCAGTGTATACCATGGAATACTATGCAGCATTAAAAAAATGGAGACTTTACCTCTTTTATGTTTACATGGATGAAGCTGGAAAATATTCTTCTTAGTAAAGTATCTTAGGAATGGAAAAAAAAATCCAATGTACTCAGTACTATTATGAAACCAATCTATAATCACTCACCCTTTCATATGAAAGATGAATCACAACTATAGCCTAGGATGAAGGAGGGAAGGGGAGGGAGAGGGAAGGAAGGAGGGTAGGTTGGTGGAGGGTTAGTTGGGGGACCACACCTATGGAGCATATTGCAAGTACAAGTCGGGTCTATAGGGTGTAGAACACAAATGTCTTAACACTGTAATTGGGCAAATGAGGTAAAGGCTATGTTAATTAGTAGGATGTAAGCACTCCAATTTGTACAAATAATCAACACATCGAGTCCCATAATGGCATAAATGTATTCATGATCTATGTACAAATGACTTAATAAAAAAAACGAAGTAAAATTATAGCTAAAAAAAAATGGTGAAAGTGAAGTTATCTGCAGAGGAGGACCCCAGGGCTCTTTGCTGTGATTGTTTTATTAGGCCTTGCGAAAGACTCCATACCACATCTTTATTTATCACCGCACTTGAACTTTCTCTGGATTTGTTGGTCATGGGAGTTGAGTGCATCCAAGCTTGGCCCTCCTGCAGAGAATTTTCTAGCTCTGGCCTCACTCAAAACCAGCAGCCTTAGGGCTATTCGGTAAAGGGGTCAGAACAGCACGTCCAAATCTGGGATCATTGGCCTCCAATGCCCCCAAACAATGCTGAGTTGCCTTCCAGAACTTATAACTTACACCCCCACTGACATTTTATGAGAACCCCCGGCCCTTCACGTCCCTGCCTATGCTTGTTATTGTTACATCTTTTAGCGTTTGCCAATCTGTTGGGTGTAAAATAAAATCTCATTGGGGTGTTCATGCGTTTTGCTGATTACTAATGAGGTTGAGCATTTTTCTTTTTTTTACATACTTATTGGCAGTTTTTTGCTTCCTCTGGTTTGAAACATCTGTTTATGAATTTTACCCTTCTTTTTATTGGATTGTTATTTTTCTTATAGCTATCTGGATGTCATTTATATATTTTGGGTAGAATCTTCATTTACTTTCTTTTGGCTGGAAAAAGTAGAATGGTGAGCTTACAGGAAGAAGATTCTCTTATCAAGGAATCTTCTGGGTGTCTTCCTAGCTATTGCTGCGTCTCCAGGTACTCCCTGCCTCATTGAGGACAGTGTGACTCCTTCCCAGGACTTTGTCTTCTCACCTTGTGTCCCAGGTATTGCTTGAGGAGTGGGGTTCGGGGGTGGGTGAGGGTGAGAGTGCAGGGCAGGAAACATAGCTTGATTTCTGGAATTTTCCTATTTTTTTTGTCCAGTCTCTGTTTCAAACATCACCTTGAAATCATGTCCCTTCCCTTGAGTGAGTGCTCCTGGTTCTTGACATTTGTTCAGGGTTCATTTTGTTAGGTTTGGAGCGGACAGGCATCTGTGTTCTGGTTTTATTCTGCTGTTTTACCCTGGAAGTCTCTGGGACAACTTTTTAAGGAGGCCTTGGATTTATTATTATTTTTTCTTTCTTTCTTCTTCTTTTTTTCTCTCCCTCTTACTCCCCCAAAGAGAGAGAAGAACGATCAGTGGCAAATGGCAATTGCACTAAAGCATCACCAAGAGCCAGCTTCATGCTCAGGAGAGAACACGGCGCCTCCTCCTTGAGGTTTCCAGTGCTTTATGCATGCAGAGAGACTTCTCTAGTAACGAACTATAGAAATGACCCCTGAAAGTATAGTTTTATATTTTTTATTTCTTTTTAAAATTTCAGATTGATATAAGGGTATGAATGTTTAGGTTACATGGTTTTCATTTTTGAGGTAACATTCAAGTCGTAGTTGAGCCCTTTGCCCGGGGGTGGTACTGAACACCCTCACTCACATTGTACATGTTAGGTGAGATCCTGCCAATTGCCATCCCTCCTCCTGTCGGCCCCTCACTAGACTATACTTGTGTTTTGCGTGTGTGTGGGTGTGTAGTTGTTTATATATTGGTTTCATATTAGTACCGAGTACATTGGATGCTTTCCCCCCACCCCCCATTCTTGTGATACTTTACTAAGTAGAATGTGTTCCAGCTCTGGATGTTAATTTTAAATTGACTTCCACAGGGTAACTATGGTGGGGAAAAGATTCCTTTTACCCTTGGTTCTGTGTTTCTAGAGCGTGGCCCTGCCTGCTGACGTAAAACTCCACCAGAAGCCGTTAGGGGGGAAATGGGGGTCACATACCAAAGCTGACCATATCAGAATGGAACCTCTCCCTCCTCCCAGAACAAAAATTTCTGTCTTGAGCGCTTATACTATCCGAGATAGAAATCTTAATCCAATCACATAGAAATAAACTCAGGTGCTTCTGACATTTTTCTTGCACATTTCATGTTTAAACTCAGTTAACTTTAGAATTTTTTTAACACTTTTCCCCAATTGTCTTGTTTCTGGGGTTGCTGCCACACTTGGCTTGGGGACGGATACAAATGTCATCAAATAGGTGGGAGATTTCTGCGTCCAGGTCTCTGTGGCTGGATGCCGTGAGAGTGCTCGTCTTGCTGAGCCTTGCACGTCCCCGTCCAAGCTGGCATCCAGAGTCCCATCCTTCCTCAGCCTCCTGGTTTCATCTCTGCATTCTCATTCCTGGCTGTGTTTGTTAGCATTCTGTGGCTGCCTAACAGATGACCTCAAACCCAGTAGCTTAAAGAAACCCCACCCTTATATCACCAGATAATTCTACAGGTCAGAAGTCCAGGCACCGGTGAGCTGAGTCACTGCTCTGTCTTACAAGGCTGCAATCAAGGCACCGGCTGTGTCCTCCCCTGGAGGCTCTGTGGAAGCATTTGCCTTCCCGCTCATCTGGGCTGTTGGCAGAGTTTATTTCCTATTTGACTGAGATTCTCTCTTTCTTGTTAGCTGTTGGTCAGGACCCACTCACGCTCCTAGGACTGCCCTTGGGGCCTCCCCCAGTGGTCTTGTCACAACACAACTATAGGCTTATTCAAGGCCAGCTGAAGACTCTTTCTCATTTCTGGTTTCAGGGCTCCCCTGATTAGGTCAGATTCCCCCCCAAAGATAATCTCCTTTTTGATTAACTCAAGTCAGCTGATAGGGGACCTCAATCATATCTTCAGATCCCTTTCGTCTTTGCCTTGTAAGATGACCCAGTCACTGTTGTAAAATCTTACCGTGTTCACAAGACCTGACCACTTGAGTGCTGACCCCAGCAACTGGGATCTTGAGAGCATCTCAGCACTCTGCCAACCCCACTGTGGGCCTCAGAGCTCTACTTCTCTGTCCTCCTCTGCTGATTTCTGTGCCGCCCTCGGGGTCTGGGGCACGTAATTCAGACACTCCACTGTGCCATTCAAGGATGGAGAGATGGAGAGGAGACTCCAGTCCTGTCTGCCTTTCCCCTCTGTAGTCAAGGACATGTGGGCCTGAGGGCCTTCTCACAGAAGCCTGTCTCAGGTCCTCCGGCTGACAGGGACAGCCATCTCCCTTCCATCCTACGCATCCCTGGGAGGGGTGGGTAGAGAACAGGACTCATCTTTTGTTTTTCTCCGAACTCTGTTATCACCTCTAATCCATAAAGGGCTTTATTTTGGCTCTTCCTACTGCCGATGGAGGAGAGACAGAAGGATCAGCTAGTTAAATAGTCTTCCAAATTTACTGCTTATTCTAGGTCCTTGGCTCTGGAAGCTTAAAAGCTAAAAATTAACTTCTTCTTCGTCTTTTTTTTTTTTTTCTATTTGCATTTCAACTATGGTCTAGCTTTTTCTGAGGGCAGCCGAGGTAGGAGGTCAGGGTAGGAGCTACAGGGCTTGCAAGGCTGTCCCATATCGCCCCCTCCCCTGGAATTTATGGGTTAATTCTTCATAAACAACCTGCCATAATCATTTCCAAAACAACCCAGGCTTTCAGAATCGTGCTGGGAACTGGATTAATTCCATGTTAATTTTTGTGCCACATCTACTGTACTCTTTATCTATGAATATTTTTTCCCTTGCTCAGAGTAGGCGGAAACCCCAAAGAAGGACAAATTGAAACACTTTTAGAAACGAACAGAATGCTAATTAAGTTTTCCTTTGCTGAGGGGAGAGCAAAGCTTGGCAGTGTTTCAGAGATGATAGAGGACTTGTACTAATTAGGAGTATTACTCAGGTGAAGTAATTGGAAGTCAATACAAACCCTGAAGCTTAGTAAATATAGGTAGAGCTGGGTTGGAATCAAAGTGGGCAAAGGGGAGATTCCAAAAAGCAGCTGGTAGTTCTCACTGGCATAGTTATGGGAGGGTAAATTTTGTACTGAGCTACTGACCAGCCCTTCCCTCCCTCCCTGACCCTCCATACCCAGGCTCAGTTGTCACATAAACAATCTGCTAATCTGTGGCTTTGATGTGACTCCTGGAAAAGTCTCCAGGAACAGCTAACCTCTGTTGGCCGGCTTCCTGAGGACAGGTAGGGCTGTTCTCAGCCTGTTAATGTCCTGGGCAGAGTAACCCGTGCTGAGGTCCGAGAGTAAGCAATAGATTTGGAAGACTATTGCTCTTCTTCCCTTCCCGTTTTCTGCCTTCCTGATTACCTTCATGCTCTTTCATCCCATTTTCAAAAGTAGGAGTTTATCCCAGGCAGAGTCTATCTCATCTCCACATAGCTCATTGTAGACTATTCGTTTCTCTGGATTTTTTCCCCTCTTCTGAATTTTTCTTTGCTTTACTTGGGTAGTATTACTTTTCTGCTGAGGAGCAAATTTTTCTCTTTGTAGCCCCAGCGTTTCACATGCATACCTGGAAGGTAATAGCTGCTTAGTATTTGTTGGTAATATGAACTCATTAGTGAATTAAATATCTACTTCCTCATCTGTTTCTCTCCCCACTAGACATACCCACTTTGAAGGTAAGGACCTGTCTTACTCATTTTTGGATCCCTTATATCTGACATACTGCCTGGCACATAACAGGTTCTCAGACACAGTTTACTGACTGAATGAATTCCTAATCAGGAATTCCCCATGTACCTCAGCACACTGTATAGGAATAATTAGCTCTGACGTCACAATTTCAGAATATACCACTGGCAGAAGCAGATAAGGAAAGGTTACCGAGTTGGTCTTCGAAGTTTCTGGGAAATAGGACAGAAGAGGTGTGCATTGAGGAATATGCTTTATGAGATCGCAGGTGAGTGTTCTTTTTCTGCACAATCTTTACCAAGTCAAGTACTTTTCTGATCCAAGGCAGAGAACAAATATAGCCTTTTTGGTTCCCCTTAAGATGAAATGCAAACTTTAAATGCTTCCTTGAAAATCAGAATGAAATCCTTTCAACCAGATGGCTGCAGGGGTTGAAATCTGAGCTGGCATCTGAGTCAGATAGTTGGAATGATGTTCTTGAACAGTACCACTTGTGCCACTGCTAACTTGGTAACGACCTCAGAGCATATCCCATTGATTCCCAGCCTGGACCTTAACTTACCTCAGCCCAAAATGATGAAGAACAGAGCCTGTTTCTTTCCCAGAGGTGTCCTCAGGTTTGAAAATAAGATGAGATGATTACCCTTTTTCCTATCTATGGCTCCTTCAAAGTTGCAATGGGAAGACCAGAGGTTTTAGAATCAGACATAAATTACAAGTTTATCCCAGGCAAAAGTTTAACCCATGTCTTTGTTACTATAAGGAATGAAGCCTTAGTATATTTTAAGTATCTCTTTATTGGCAAATGTGGAAAATAACTACATCATTGGAATAGTTTGCAATCTAAGCTAAGAGGACTTACTGGAAGGGCATGATACCTCTGCCTGTAATCCCCGCACTTTGGGAGGCTGAGGTGGGAAAATTGCTCGAGGCCAGGAGTTGGAGACCCCATCTCTAGAAAAATACTGGATGTGGTGGCACACGCCCATAGTCCTAGCCTCTAGGGAAGCTAAGGCAGGAGGATCACTTGAGCCCACGGGTTTGGGGCTGCAGTGAGCTATGATCATGCCACAAGCAAACACTTCAATATTAAAGTTTAATATTGATTTTTAAAATCTTACCTTTAAAGACCCTGGTTAATGACCAGTATTAACATTAGTAAGTATAAGAAAAATTAGTAATATGAAATTAAGATTTTGTGACATGTAACATTAACATTTTAGGACAAAACTCCATCACCTACAAATTTCTTTCTTTCTTTTTTTTTGAGACAGAGACTCAAAGCTGTCACCCTGGGTAGAGTGCTGTGACATGACAGCTCACAGCAACCTCAAACTCTTGGACTTAAGTGATTCTCTTGCCTCAGCCTCCCAAGTAGCTGGGAGTACAGGCGTCTGCCACAGCTCCTGGCTATTTCTTTTTGTTGTTGCAGTTGTCATTGTTGTTTTAGCTGGCTCTGGCTGGGTTTGAACCCGCCAGCCTCAGTGTATGTGGCTGGCACTTTACCCACTGAGCTATGGCACCGCCTATTAGAATGATTCTTATCAAAAAGTCTAAAAATGATAGATACTGAGGCATATGCAGAGAGGAGAGAAGATGGGGGAGGGATGGAGGGAGGGAGAGAGAAAGAGATGCTTTTACACTGTTAGTGTGACTGCAAATTAGTATAACCCCTGTGGAAAATGGGATGGAAATTTCTCAAAGAATTGAAAAGTAGACCTATCATTCAATTCTGCAATCTCACTACTGGATATCTACCCCAAAGAGGTTATTTTATCAAAAAGACATCAGCACTCAAATGTTTGTTGCAGCACAATTCATAATGGCAAAGATGGACAATCA